ATATTTTTTTTTTGGCTTTTCCCTTCCTTCTTGTCCCCTTTCCCCCATCCCAGTTTCTCTTTCCTTCTCAACAGTTTCTTCCCATTTTACAACATCTATTATATATTTTGGGTCTTATTTACTCTTTCAGTTTCTCACACTATGGAGATAATACGATGTTTGCACGTGTCCATCTGGTTTATTTCTATTTTAACGACTTAACTGTATGTTCAATGATCAGAGAGAAAAAGCAAAATAAGGCTACAAAATGAGTAAACTCTTCCTTCAGGCATCTTTTCCGCCTGAACCAATAAATGGTATATATATAAAATACCTGCTGTAAAGAGTACAAATAAAGCATCTTTCACACACAGCTACCTCTTAGCTAATGAATAAATTCAAAACACATATCATAGTGGCTAGCACTAAGATATTATATGCTATTCCAAAGTAAAATACAAGACACTACACTTACACTGTTTTATGAGAACTGAGTATAGTTAAATGAACCTGTAAAAAAAAAAAAAAAAAAACCTATGCCATAATTATGCTTATCATCCTATATTAATTTCATTTTAAATTTCTAAGAAAGTAACTCTCTAGATCTAACTTATTATCTTATTAAATTATTCTGAGGCTTAAAAAATTTTTAATCATTGCACTCTCATGACAGTAAGTAACCAAAATAAAACGCAATCAGACAAGGACATAAACTAGGAAGCAGAGGGAAGGCTCTGCTGTTACTACTAACCTCCAATACATTCTATAAGCCTCACCCACTTCCCAGCAAACTGACAAGTAGAATGCAGAAAAGATCATGTGATAATCACAAGGAGCTTGCAACCAAAATCACCATTTTTCATAGTCAACACTTACCTTTGTCTTTCTATTACTTTCAGAAACAACCAAGCTTTTGTAGTTGTCCACCTTTGATATCCTAATGGTCTAAGTACTTAACTGAAAAACTTTTAAAGTACTCATCTCAATTCTGCAACATTAAAAAATATTTCAAAGCACCTATCTTTACAAGTGGTTTACTTTCCTTCTACTTGTCTTATTTATTTCCCAGTCTACACTTGTTTAAATAGATTAAAATAATCCTTAGCAAAATAAAATGTTAATTTGCTCAGGTGCAACAGTGTATACCATTTACACTGAAGGTCTGTGCAAACTACATTTCACAGGCCAAATTCTGGCAATCATGTTCTTATAAATTAAATTTCACAGAAACAAAATTTGGTCATTTGTGGATTCATATGTTCATTTGTCCACTGTCTGTGGCCCCTTTTGGGAGAGAACAGGAGAGCTGAGTAGCTGTGACGTGAAATCACCTAGTCTGCGAGGTCCTAAAATACTTACTGAGCCATTTATGCAAAGCATAAAAGCCATTCATGCTGATCTCCAAAGAGATATATTATTACTAATTCCCTGCGGTCATAAGGTTAGTCATTCGCATTTTCTGGAGTAATACTGTCATTTTGAGGAAATTATTAAAAAATTAGGAATGTATTTGATCCAAACATAGTTTCAAAGGGCAAGCAGAATTACAGACCAAACATTTAAACCAAGAAAGTTCCTTTTCCAAACGATGTAACAGCTCCACTGTGACATAAACTCAATATACAATAAGAAAGTATTAAGCATGGCTCTAGTAGACACTAGATTGACATAAATAGTTCACAAGAGTTCCTTTAAATTAGGACACTTGCTGCTGGGTAGAGCGCTAGGCTACCAGCCTGAGGCCCTACATCCAAAATTCAGCAAGAACAAAATGAAAAATTTTTTTGAAACCTTGGCCAGTAACCATCCACTTGGATAGCGGCATTATTCCACAATCCCTCAGTTAAAATTTTAGCAGGTATATTCACAGTGACCCCCAAATGTTTTCTCTACATATGCTAACCAAGGGGGTAGAAAAGCAACATACTGAAAGGAGAAACAAAGGGCCACAGTGGTATAAACAGATCTAGACGGAAACCCACATCTAAATCTATGGGTTTAAAACGTTTTGGAAAACAGAAACCCAATCTGATGTGAAGAAATCAGGAGAATCCTTCCAAGGTCATTTTTGAGAAGTATCTGTTCAATGGCCTAGAATAAAAATTAAAACCTGTTCAAAATGGTTAGGAAAAAACATTTATCCTCATCTAATGAAATTCTGAGAGCTCAGAGTCAAGATCTGCACATTCAACAGAGCCTTCCAGCTAGGAGCTCAGGTATTCCTGCTGAACTGCTCGCCCAGCGCTCCTCTAGGCCCCAGGGAGCGGGCGGCCAATTCCTCATCTGCGGGCAGCTCTATTTCCCTGGGCAGCGCGGCTTCCCTGAGGCTGACCCGAGACCATCTACGTCTTCCTTCCTATAACCAAAATACATTTCCGGCCTCTAAATGAGTTTCAACAGTCACATCTGCACCCACAGATGAACGGAAAAATCAAATGGCTGAAAAACGTTAGAAAACCGCTTCTCGGAAAGAAGTGTTAAAAAAAAAATCAAAACATGGACAAAAATCCCAGGGCCCACTGCACAGCCCCTTCTCCTGGTCCAGGCTCCGGCGCGGGGAGGAGGACCAGGCGCCGCGGGGAGCGGGACGGTGCGGACCCGACGGGACGGGACCGAGCGGTCACTCGCACAGGTGGCGGCGGCCGCGCGGGGAGGGGCGCGGCGCACCAGCCAGGATACCAAGCGGGGAAAGCATGCGACAGGAACGGGACTGCATTCTCGTTTCCCTTTCTTTCTCCTCTACAAACTCACCAAGAAAATCACACTGAGAAGCCGGGGGAAAGGAAGGGAAATGAAAAGAAGCCTCCGCAACCCATCAGGGCCGCCGCGGCACCCAGCGACCTCAGCTCACAGCCATGCCACCCCCGCGCGACCATCTGCGCCTGCGCAGACCTGCGCGCCAGGCACGTGACTACACCCGCTCTCCGCCACGCCCCCCCTCCCCCAGCCCCTCGGGCACCGCCCCTTCTGCGTAGCGCTCTGGACGCAGACCAGGCGTCAGCGTGCTCTCCTCCCCACGGGTAGGGACTGAGTCCGCGCGCTAGCAGCCATTGTTTGGCGCCTGCGCACTAGCCTCGCTTTGGACCGGAGACCTTTTTTCTCTTTAAAATACAAAGCGATAAAAGCAAAATGTTTTAGAAAACCCAGCTTTCACCTCTTTATTTCCAAACGTACAGATGTTTCCGCGTGAATTTCTCAGGCAGGAGAAACCGTTACAGAAAGGATGAGATGAAGCCTGGTTGACAAGGCTGCCTTCCATTTCCCCGTCGCCTAGTAACTGTTTCCTTAGCAACTGCCGGGTCAACAACACTAAGGAATCCCAGGAGAAATAGAAAGCTTATTTCTTTTTCTTCCCAGGAGAGGACTGCTAAGAAGGGGTCAAAGGGGGATTACTTGAAAGAAACCTGAGGTCCTTGACAAGGCAAGGGCACAGAAAAGAAAGGGGAAGCAGCGGAGAAGGGGACGGAGATACTAGTACTGTACAGTGAGGAAACTACAGTTTTTTAGGAGTCCTTTGCTTGGCCATGGATCCAGCGTGCTTTTCTGAGAGTATTTATAACCTCATACCCAATGACTTCAAGGAACCTCCCCAGCCTCCTAGGTAGGTGGGTAAGCAAAGACTATCGCTTGAAACAGAATAGGGGTTAACTAAGCACACATATCGCAGGATTTTTGAAAATAAACAAAATGTGTCTTGCCTCAGTGAAATATAGCCTTACTGATAACTTAGCGAACTTATCGGAAAAAATCCAGGTAATAGTAGTTCATAAAAAAGCATCCCAGTGCTGTCATTAGATTACACTGAGCCTCCTATTAATACGTTATGTAATTATTTTGTACTTTATCTAATAGTTTGTACGTGATGTGGTTTACAACCTAGAGTGAAATATGTTGTTAAAAAGAGACAATCACAATTCCGTTTTCTTGTGTGAGAAGACTTAAGGTTTGGTTTCAGGAGCTCAGTATTGTATTTCTAACTGCTCCCTCGCTAAAGGTACAGTACTTATTTTTTTACCCAAAATTATTGTCAAATATAAATTCATATTTGTTTCTGAGTTTCCGTTTTTTGATTTGTCAAAAGGAACAAGGATGTGCTCATTTCGGCAGCACATGTACTAAAATAGGGAGCAGAGCACAAGATACAGTAGTTTTTAGAACTTTTTCAGGTCTAGTGGCTGAATGGGAGAGAGAATGGTGGAATATTTAGATAGAGATCCAAAAATATACAACTGAGTTAAAATTTTTGCATAGTTATTAGGACTCCTAATACTTACCAAATCTCAAAAAGATAACCAGAAAGTAAGCATTCCAGTTACACTCCTGGTATATACTTCTTAGAACTTGGTTAAATCTGTGGGGAGAAAAGAAGGTAATTAGTGGAGAAAGTCTCTTTCCTTCTAGGACTTAGAAGTGTTTCTTGCTACTTACCTTTATCTTTTTCCTTATGCTAGTCAAAAGTCACTTTAAAGATTACTGGGCTGAAACTCAGGCTCTACAGACAATTGTTTTGGAGGTCTTAAATGCATTTTCATTTGTTTTCTGATCTGTAATACTAAGTGAATTAAGTAATCTCTAAGGTCCCTTTCAAATAAAATAGTTATTTTTACTAATAATTACTTTAGGATGCATAACGACAACTTCCATTTTCAGCCTAAGGGAACAAGCTGGTTTTAACCAAAGCAATAATTATACTGTATTTACATTATTTTCTCAAAGTCTAGTCCAGATTAGAAAAAGGAATGCAAAAGAAACTATGATACAGTGTAAATTATTTATTACTGAACCAGTTTTTACTGTAAACTATAGTACAGTTCAAATTATTCATTGCTGAATCAACTTCTGGTCACAGTTCTTGATAAATACAAGTTCCTCCTGCTTGTAACACCCTGATGGAGTGGTGGTGAACCTATGGTAGATGTGTTATGTGTTTTTCTTTTAAGACAAAAGGTGTATGCATTGTTTTGCTAAACTAAAACCTCAGTATTCAGGTTTAATCAGTGTCAGCACTTTGCAATAAATAAATGGGTTTTGGGTTGCAGTTTGGGCACTCGTCTCTAAAATGTTCACCATCACTACATTGATTGTACATTCCGTACAATACTGAATTTGAATGTTAAGACGTGTTATTAGATAGGTGTACTGTTCGTTGGTAAATTAAAAAGCTTTACTATATCTAGGCAATTTTTAAAAAAAATTACAGCAATCAATATTTATTTGGTAGACATTAACCATTCCTAGTCAGAGAACACTGAGTAATTTAAATCCTTTAAAAATTGCTGAGAGTTGCTTTACATTTAATGTATGGTCTACTTTTTTATCTGTTTATATTATTATTTATTTATTGATTTTTTTTTTTTGAGACAGGGTCTCTTTATGTAGTTCAGGCTGGCCTTGAACTCACAATGTAGACCAGGCTAGCCTCAAACTCACAGTGATCCTCCTGCCTCAGCCTCCTGAGTTGGAATTATGGGTGTGCACCACTATGCTTGGCTAATTTTCAGGATTTTCGCCAAATCCATCACCCTTCTATTGATGGTGGTAGTTATTTACTATTTCCAATCATTCCTTCCCCACTTCTGTTTAAGGCACTATTCCAGATATGGTTTAAACAGTCCATGAACTTAATAATGTCTTTCCTTAATACTTGGCATGATACCTTTACCTAAGCAGCCTAAGTTTCTCTATTATTTTAACAGTCATGTCCCACTGTAATCCCACATTGAAATCCCTGCCTGTGTTACGTCTACGATTAGTCTCTCCCATCTTTAGTTATGTAGCTGATTCTTTTTTTTCTCATCCCATTGTTAATTTATGGAGATAGTTTTCAATAGTGAATTGTTTATATTCTCACACCCTCTCTTCCCAGCTATGTGTCACTTGCAAATCTAATGAGTATGTGCTTTATATCTGCGTCTATCATTGAAGGGCACGTACTTTACACTGCCACGTGGCTACTAGATACCTCTCTAAAGGCTGACGATACCTTTTTGAGTCTTGTTACCCAAAATAGACCCATTAATCCATTTATATTTCTCTAACTTATCAGCAAGGATTTAATGAGAGGCTTTGCTGGTATCAAGATGAAAATTGTTATGCCTAAAATATCTCCAAATGAATTTTAACAAACTTCTTTTTTAATTGATGTTCATTTGTGGTGACTGAAACCACAAGTAGACTTATGCAATCACTGCCTTTCTGCAAACATAACTCACTCTCTCTACAACTCTGGAAATTGTCATCAGGCTTACCAGTGTAGAGTGGCCAAATGTCTACATTTTGAAAACAGGAATATTTAATATCGTAAGTACCACTAGTTCACTGTAAATGCCTGTCTGGCTTTCATTGTGATTAATTGTAACATGTAATCACATTTAATTTTTGGAGGTTCCTATTCTTCTTGGACTACTTTCCATTTTATTCAGTGTTCATAATATTATACCTATATGCCTTGAAGTCTTTATACCATTTTCATGTAAAGTCTGGTTATGTTTCTGACTTCCTAAGCATTCTATTCTTGACAAATATGAAGTCTAAAATGACATAATCATTTTTATCCTGAGATTCTTGTCTTATCTACTTTGCTGACTAATTATAGGCAAGGATTCAATTGAAAAGAGCAATATCCCTTTCAGTGAATTTAAATGTAAAGAAAGTCAAGAATATTCCAAAATCTCTTTTTGGTTTAATAATATTTTATGCTGAAATTCTCATTGCTGCAATTCATGGTTTCAGGCATAGTTTTATGATTAGTGTTAGAAGCTTTTATTCATATTTTTTCATCTGACTGAGCAATTCCTACATATTCTCAGAATGCTAACACTTCCCTTCATCTATTCCATTACTTTTATCCAAGTGGCCTTCTGCTCTTCATATGCATATACAGTACATCACACATACACACACACACACACACACACACACACACACACACACACTTTACCTAAAGAAGATTCAAAATCACGAGGAAACAGTTACCCAACAGAAGAACTGCTATCTATACTAGAGACACCTGAAGAATGTAGAAGAATCAGAGATTTGGGAAATTATGAATGGAACTGATAATTCAAAATGGCAATTTTCCCCTTCAGATACATGGATAAGTAGAAGGACATTCACAAATAGGATTTTTATAGCAAGGAAAGTTGCAGCCACCATGTGCATTTACTGGCTGAATATTTCTTCATTTTGAGTTATTGCTTCTCATTTGTATTGCTATAGCTGACTTAACACACAGTAAGAGATATTAGGACACATCTCCGGCATTTAATATATACCTAAAAATATCGAAAGGGGAAAATATGCCAACAATACTCCTTAGAGTTAGTTGTCAGAGAATTTGTAGGTAAGTGAATTTTTGTGAATTTTAGTCTTAGTTTTTTAGATGGTTATTCCAGTGCAGAATAAGGTTTTGTATCTTAAGCCATGCCATACAATATATTGTAATCTAAGGAGAGTAATTTTAGAAGTTGGAAAAGTGTGTCAGTCTTTCTTTTTGTTGTATTAACAATTGAGACATCATAACATTTTAGAGAACAAAACTATATCTTCTAGGATACAGGTAAAAAAAGGATTGAATAGTCTTAGTTTTAAAAAATTTAATCGACATATCTAATACAGTATAAAAACAAAGATAATATAATAACATATATAATATAATATATATAATATAATATTATTATATATAATAATATAATATGATATATAATGCAGTGTAATAATAAATCAAAAATATTATTAACAGTAATAATATGCTCAATGTATTTACAGTGTGCCAGGTACTGTTCTACATTTTCCACAATCACCATTTAACTGCCCCAAGGGCCCTCTGAGATAAATACTACCATCCTAGTTTTATGGAAGAGACAATTCAGGCCCAGAAAATTGAGGCAGGCAGAAACAAGACCTGAAACCAAGACACACTCTGTACCAAAAGGCCCACCACACCTTTCATCAGTTTTCACACTGCCTGAGCAACACAGGCCTAATGGGCACTTTTTGCTTCGCAGCATGTTTTTGATCTTCTAATTTATCTTATATCATATTGTTCAGCATTTATGCACTATCTTGTTCTAATGTAATAAGATATTTTGTGATGAAGATATTAAAGAAAATGGGAAACGATCACAGAAAAATCAGGTAATGCTATAGATGAGGTTGCATATGAAAATATGCTTTGAAGCCCTATGTAAGTTTGACTCAGAGCTACTAGAAAGCAGTTAGCTGACAAAGGAATGATTCTTCTAGTGATTCTTTAAAACTCACTTATCCTCCAAGTCCTATTGTCCATAGGCAAAAGCAAATTAGTAGTTAAGGAGACTTGCAAGTATTCTTGGTGTAGAGCCATAAATACAATCCCTCCAAGGTTCATGGTAGAGGAGACACTGTATACAATGTTACAAATAAATATTTCAGTGACCTTCTTACACTGACTATACTGAATTTCATAGGTCTAATATTGCTGTCATCATAAACCCATGATCAAATGCTGTAACATAATAAAAGCAGTTTTGGCATAGTTGTGGTTCATTTATTGAAGATGACAATTTTAGTTTAAAAATAAGTTATCTCTAGCCCATATCTGATAATAAATAGGAAATGCAACCAGTTTTCTAAAAAAAAATCACCTCCTAGATATTTATAATAAGACCATACTATTCAGAAAATAGAATGAAATGTGGCTATTTAAAACAGTAAGCTTTACATACTGACATTAAAAGTTATACTCTATTAAGTGTCTAAAATGAATTTTCAATCCTATAGAAACAGAAAACTAAATTTATTCTGAAATATTTGGGGGATAGAACTTAGATTTTTATTCCCTTATAAATTTTATTTTATTATTAGTTCAGATAAATAAAATTTATTTATATAGTAAAATTTCTTATTTTTATGATAGATGAATGGGCTTTCATATACACAGAAAAGTATTGTATCACAAAATTGCAAATTACAAAGCAGTGAGAACAAGCCAGGCGTGGTGGTGCAAGCCTGTAATGTCAGCATTCAGGAGGCCTAGGCGGGTGAGAGGATCGCTGTGAGCTTGAGGCCCGCCTAGGCTATATAGTGCTTTCAAGGCCAGCCTGGACTACATAGTAAGACCCTGTCTCAAAAAAAAAAAAAAAAAAACAACCAAAACAAAACATAACAAAAAAGAACAGCGAGAATATATGTACCCTATTCCACCTCAGAGGAAATCATATTATTGATTATGAAAACATCTGCCAACCCAATTTCCATGGGAATTTTATGACACATATTTAGTTTAAATATTATTTCCTGAAGGTGTCTGATGAGCTCCTTGAACTCAACGATGCCCAGCCATTGAGTTCAAGACTGAGAAATACCCCTAAAAGCAAAGAAAAAATGTTTAATATTTTTTCCCAAGAAATTTATCCACATAATGAAAAAGACGATGCAAAGTATTAAAAGTAACACAGCTGAACTCCTGCTTCCAACCACGCATTTTCCACCTAAAACATCTGAAAAAAAATATATGAAACAGTGGTTTTCAGACAATAGGCAGCACAGAGCACACATCCGAAAAGAGAAAAGGATGACACAAGTCCTACAATTGCCCTAACATAATTACTGGGAAGAATTTCCAGGCCAAAGTCCAAAAGAAAGAGTGTAAATCAAGCTGAGGAATGTTCCTGAGTTCAAAGTTTGGGAAGGCCAAAGAAAGGAGAATTTATAGTACAGTGTACCAGAGAGGAGAGAATTGCACAGAGCATTGGAAATCTGCACGGAGACTTCCCAAAACCCTTTGGTACATAGCACATGTGGCTAATGAAGCTGCCAAGGCCAAGGACATAACCAGCAAGGCCAGGTAAAAGCTATGTTCTCACCAGCCAGAATGGAGACACCTCCTTCTATACAAAATGAGTAGAGGTCCCAGAAGTGGGGCTAAATCAGAAATAAGCTAAGGGCTCTTCTGGACCTGTCCTAAAACTCAAAACCAAGCCGTAGAATAATCACACTGTTTCCTGCTATCACAACTGCACTTCAGAATAAAGCAAAAGAGAAATTTAAAAGAAAAGAGAAGAAAAAGAAAAGTGAAAAATACAGCAATCAACAATGTAAAATTTAGTATTCTATGTTCATTCTAAAATTACTTACAAGGGACAATCAAGAAGAAAATCAGTCAATATAAACAGATGTAGAAATGACATACATAATAAAATTAGTAGACAAAGGCATGTTAAATGGCTATTTTAATATCTTATGTTCAGAAAGGCAGAGGGAAGCATGACTGAGATAGGGAAAGAACTGGAAGGAAGGGTCTGAATCTAACCTGTAGATCAAATGAAGATAGTGTACTAGATGGGATTAACAACAGCTAAGGTACTAAAGAAGAAACTATAATTGAAATGAAGACACAAAAATAGGAAAATGCAAAATGAAAGTCACAGAAAAAATACCAGAAATGGAACTGGAATATTGGCAAGCTATGGTCAAGCTCAAGCAGCCTGACATAATTATAGTTGGAACCACAGAAAAAGAGGAAAGAGATGGAAGAACAGGAGAAATGCTTGAATAAAAGTTTTTTTTAAAGTATGTCAAGTTTGATAAAATCTCCATGCCCACAGATCCAAGAATCACATGAACACCAAGCAGAGAAAAAAAATAAAGACAACTATGCCAGGAGGCATTATAATTTATTAAAACTCTTAATAAAAAATTTAAAACAGCAAGAAAGAAAAAAGAAAACTTACACACACCAGAGGAAAAAAGGAACAGTAAACACATTACTGAGAGACAGTGGAAGCCAGAGATTTTTAAAATCTCTTTACGCAGAAGGAATGGTACCTCTTGGAAATTTGGATTTACAAAACTGAGTGAAGGCTGGGGATATAGCTCAGTGGCATAATCACTTGCCTGGCAAGCCTGAGGTCATGAGTTCGATTCCTGACACCAAAAATAAATAAATAGATATAAAATAAAATAAAATTTAAAAATCAGGCAGAATAAAAGGAGAAACATTAAGCAATGGGATATATAGAAAACAGCAATATGGGGGCTGAGGATTTAGCTCAGCGGCACAGCGCCTGCCTGGCAAGCACGAGGTCATGAGTTCGATTCCTGGTACCAGGAAAAAAAAAAAAGAAAACAGCAATATGAAAAATTCACATTACATATGAATGGTCTGGCATGCCAAATAAAAGTGATTATTCACTTGATACAATTTCTATTTCTATATGTCTATGAGGAAACTTCTTTAAGAATAAAGACACAGACAAGAAAAAAGTCTGAAAATGGCAAAAGGTATACTATCCTAAATCAAAAGATGTTAGAGTAACTATATTAATATCAGACAGAATAGGTTTTAGAGTACAAAATTTTGAAAAGAAGCAAAATGTGTTTTTTTAATGATATTGCCAGTTGTCAAAGCTAAAACCACTATAACATTGGTTCACAATATATGAAATAAAAACTGATTGAATTAAAAGAAGTAGCTAAATCCATGATTATAGTCAGAGATGCCAACATCTCTTTCAAAACTGAACAGAAAAGATAAAAATAATTAGGATATAGAACACTTGGAAATACTTTCAACCAGTTTGATCTAGTACTCATTCATAAAACTGCATCAAAAAGCAGCAAAATACACTTTGTTTTGAGTATATACAGAACATTGACCACACTAGACCAGACTGTGTCATAAGATAAATGCCAGGAAATTTAAAAGGTTTGAAATCACACAAAATATATTCTTTTACTACAATGGAAATAAATTAGAAGTCAATTATATATATGCAAACTCCAAATATATGAAAATAAACAACTAAATAAGTTTCTAAATCAGATATAGGAATGTAGTTTAAGAGGTATTTTGGGGTGAAGATAAAACTGCGTATCAAAATTTATGAAATATAGCTAATCTGAGGCTTATAATGCTATAGCTTTAAACATATATTAGAAAAACATAAAGGTTTTAAATCAAATACTACACCTAAACTTGTACCTTAAGAAACTTTTTTAAAAAGGAAAGCCAATTAAACTGAAAGTAAGGAGAAGAAATAACAAAGATCCATGCAGAAATCATTGGAATGGGTTTCGTGTGACCATTAGACAAAAAAATAAAAATGAAAAATGAAACTCTGGTTCTTTGAGATCAATAGGGGCCGGGGATATAGCTCAGTGGTACAAGCACCTGCCTGGCAAAGCGCAAGGTCCTGAGTTCAATTCCCCATACCAAAAAAAAAAAAGAGATCAACAACATTAAATACTGTCTAGCAAGTCTAGTTAGGAGAGAAGGTGGTGTGGAGAGGACACACAAATCACTGACCTCAGAAAGGGATATGACAGCTAGTGCTGCTTCTTAGGAAATGCTATGAACACCTTTACCATGGTGCATTTTTTTTAGTCCAGAGCTTCCATTTAGATTCTATAAGCCTGATAGACACGGCTTATATCATAATTTTCCATATGATAAATTAAAATATATATATAAACTAAAATATATGCTTGCTTTTAAACTTTTTTTTTTTACTATAAATATAAGTACTACAACTTTTCAAATTTAATTTCAGGTATGCATCAATTTTTAAAGCAACTATAAAAAATGACATGAAAAAATGTAAAACTTCAATGAAAACCATGGGACCAGCAAAAGTTGAAGTTCCTTCTCCAAAAGATTTCCTAAGGAAACGTTCAAAGGAAAAAGTCCTACCACCCAGTAGGTCTTATCACATTTCCTTTTTAATATTAATGATATTAGCAAATTTAACTAAAATTATTGATTGTTAATGAATGTTGAATATGCAAGGTTGAAGGTAATTAAGTTAAAATTAGGTCATTAGACCAGCCCATAATCTGATTGGTGTCCTTATAAAACAAAGTTTACAAAGATATACATGGAGGGAAGGCTATGTGAAGACACCGGGAAAAGACAAACAAGTATCTACAGGAAAGTAGAGACACCTTAGAAGAAACTGCTCTTGTCTTAATGTTGGACTCTGGAAATACTGTGTCTCATTGGACTGGGCTAGAAAGCCTTTCAATCTTTTTTTTCTTTTGCTTTTCCTTCACTTTTTCTTGCCTCTTGTGATGCTGGGGATTGAACTCAGAGCCTCACATATGTGCTCTACCACTGATTACTCCCTGAGTCCCAACCTTGAATTTCTTAATTTTAATTAGGCTAATGAAATTTTGAATTTGCTTTTGCTTTACAGTGTTTACAAGAGGAGAGGCAGGCTTCAGAAAGAAGACTGATGATTATCAATAAGAAGCTTTAGCTTTAGTTTTTGATGCACAGGTTTATGTAGTTTAGCAGTTGCGTTGTGTAATTTGCTTAGCCCTAGAGAAGATATGTGAAGACCCAAGAAGTATCATTTGTCTTAATGAATTGAAAATGCTGAATTCTATTTTAAGGTTTTCCAGTGTTATCAAACGGTGGGGTTGGGTACAAAATGTCAAGATACCACTAGAAGAAAATATAAAGCAGACTTCTGAAGTCATGAATTAAGCATGGATGTTGTATTTTCAGACTTGCTTCTCCCATCTATCCTGATGATGCTTTACCTTTTGTTGTTGCATGTGGGTTATAAGAAAATTGTGGGAAACAAGGTATCTGTCATGGGGAGATGCTGTCTCACTTATGTAAAAGTATAAACTCCTAGCTGGGCTTGAGATGTTGCATTATTTCCTTGATGCTAGCAGTCATAAAAGGCCAACATTTAAAGAGACAAACTGTTTTCTTTATTTCCCCAATACATCACAGAAGATCTACTTAGGATGGGAAGAAGTTGCTTCCATGCAGACTTCTTCTCAGATCCATTTCTATGTACTCACCACGTTCCTGAGAGCTTTCTTTCCGGATATCAATATACTCTATGACTGGAATTCGTTATGTAATTCTTGAGACCCACTACAAAATGAAAGCGTAGTTCTCCTTCATCAAAAGCTGTAGCACAGTGCTCAGTCAGGGTTCAGGACATCTGGGAGTAAGAGGGGAAGAACGAGTGATGTGGAGAGGATTGCTAGGAAGCAGAAAGCAATGTACACTATATATTGGTGTGTAAGACTCACTTTGTTGCACTTATGAACGAATCGGACTTAGGAACATTCCCCTGGAACAAAACTCTTTCCTAAGCCAGGGCCTTACTGTATACAGCTTAACAGTTTGGCAATAAGTATAAACTTTTTGCCTTAAGTATATGAATATATTATTTATGGAGCCCCAGTACTCATAGTAAAATGCCTGAATGTTATAAACCATACTAAGCAATGTTTATAGTTTTAATATTAACAAGGAAATGTTATACTTAACAGAAAAAAAATTTGACTGGCATGAACCCAGAAAGCCTCCTGTGCCATTGAGAACTGATCATCCAGTCATGGGAATACAGAGTGGAAAAAATTTTATAAATACAAATGCAGCCGATGTCATCATGGGAGTGGCCAAAAAGCCTAAGCCAGTTTATGTTGACAAAAGAACCGGAGACAAGCATGATCTTGAGACATCAGGACTACTTCCAAAGTACATCCATAAAAAGGTAGCCTTGTGATGTATTAATGAGAGACCTCAAGTTCAAATAATTTAAATGTAGCATTCATAATGATTGCCTTTGTTACCATGAATAGCGATCTCACTGGACAAATTATCTGGATTGCCAACTCCCATTCCTCTGCAGTCCTCATTGGGACCAACTCTAATGTGATCAATGTACCGAGAACTAATAATGAAAATACCATATAGATCAGTAGATGATTGTGACCATTGTTTTAGTCAGTGTCAATTATCGATGTGTTTAATAATTATAACAGACATTGTCTGAAAGAAGTTAATTTTTGGTGAGGTGGAACTGTCACTAAAACACAGTCACTATTCTCAATCTAGAAAAACTATAGTTCTCTTGGGTTCTTTATTCCTATCTGAAAAGATGTTTATCAAATACTCAAATGATTTCATTGGTGAACATTACCGAAGATTGAGTTTAATGGTGTCGATATAGAATACCTTTGAAAATAAAGCTTACAAAGAAAAGGTAAATTCTATTCTGTACATTTATGGAGCATACAAATGCTTGAAATGCATAGTAGAGCATAAGTGAAAATCCTAAAGAATAATAAATAATAAGTTGTGGCCAAAAAAGGATGAAAAGAAGGAACAAAGGAAGGAGGAAAAGGAGAAAAGAAAGGAAGGAAGAGAAGGAAGGAAGTTGAGGGGGAGGCAAGGAGGGAGGAGAGATGGGAAAGGGAGGGAGTTGCAGTAGTGATGTGTGAGGCCTTGCATTGAGGTACTGCAGTGATCTCCCACAGCAATCCAGTGTCTACTGAAACTCAATACAGAAACTTCAAGGCAGTTTACAGAGAGCACGACTTACCCTCTGGGCAACTCTTCTCTGAGATCACCCCTGGGAGAACTTTAGTGGGCATCTAGGAGTTGACAGCTCAGGCTGATAACATTAAAGCTTCTCAGAACACTTCCTCCTCTGTGGCCTTTGGAAGATGCTCATAGTCCTGGTCTCATAGAGGGAAAAGTGGAATTTAATAGTGAGCAGGAAAGGCACCTAGTAATATTGCATCACTGAAGGTTGTGTCCATCTGTGAGATCTTGTCAATGTTCCACATCATTCTTAAACAGAACATGCAAAATCTAATTTAATCTCCTAGTGAAGCTGCAGAGTCATCCCTATGAACACGAGTTGTCTTGGGTTGCCTTGAAATGTTGCCCTTAGTGTTTGCTGACAGACAGACCTGTTTATCACTGCGTTAACCCACCAGAATACTGTGCTCTCAAGAGTTTATTTGTGTAATGCTGAGCAACAGAACTTTGCCTTTCATGGTCCTTATCATACCTTGCACTGAGTACATACATTCCCAAATACTGTTTGGAAGCATGACCATGGAGTAGTCCTGTTTCTCTACACAGTGACATCAGTGTATTCACTAATCTGAAAGAATTTCACTGTTTGTCCTTATAAGCAGCCCGGGCGCCTAAAAATGTATCTTGCACTTCCAAAAACAACCTTCATGTCCCAAGGCAGTTTTCTCTTAAAGTTGAAATGCTTGGTATCATTTAAAGGTTTATTTTTCTAATGCCTCTGGAGCATTTGTCTTCTGTTATTTAACAAAAAACCATGAGAAGGAGACTTCAAAGATAGTGAAGAGATTTCAGGCAATAGCTGAAACACACAAAAGATAGAAAAAAAAGCCGACTCTTAGGGGTAAAATAAGGGTCGAGTCACCACAAAAACAGGCACTGGAAACATTTAGAAGAGAGACAGATTTAAAAACTGACCACAGTAACAACTCAGGCAGTTTTAAAGGGTAGAGTTCATAACTTCTCAAAGGGGAGAGACATCACTCAGTTTTATCAGTTTGTAGTGTTTTAAGCACAGTTTAAAGTAAAACATTATTTTTCCATCATTGGCTGCTGAAAACATATAATATTCAGGACACTTTTTCCCTGAAAAATCCTTACAGGATTACGGTGTCACCCCTGAATACATATGTAAGCGGAATGAGGAAGTGAAGAAAGCCCAAGAAGAGTATGATCACTTTATCCAGGAAAACCTTAAGAAAGCAGCTATGAAAATGTTATCGGATGAAGAACGAGACGCAGTTCTACAGGTAAGTGTGCTGTGTTCTTTACTCCTGTGAAACTCTTTGGAACATCTCCAAGAGAACGGCCTTTCTAATCCACCAGCAACCTGATGACTACGGCTAGCATTTTGTTTTGGAAATCACAAACATCTCTTTGGTTATAGCAACAAACCTCGTGCAGCAGTGCTGACTCTGGGAGCAGTGGAAAGTTGTAGCATAAAGATACCTTGCCTAACACTTTGCTTCCAACTTGGTGAGTTTGTGCGGTAAGGAAGCCCACCTTCTTCCGCAACAAATATGTATCAGTGAGTCTAGAAAAATATTTTTATTTTCATTCTCAACCCCTGAATTTATGAAAAATAATATCCATAAATTAGATCTTTTTCACTAGATGGAGCTCTAGAATAATTGAAACTGTCCCTACACTGGCTGTTTTCTTCTCTCCTATAAAGAATTATCCAAATTTCTAAATAAAAAGGTATTAGGTTTTACATATGCTGTATCTTCTTTATTTTGAGTAAAAGAGACTCAAGACATTTATACTGGATTTTTAATTTAAAGCTTTAGTTTGAAACATTTAAAATATTGGGAGATGTGAGCAGGGCTGTTGCTTTATCATCGAGTGTTTATTAAATGCCTGCTTTTAGTCTTCCAGAGGCATGCAATTTCTTATAGAGGGAAAAATAGCTCTTTATTTCTTACTATGAAAGCTTTCTGCAAAACTATTTGTAGTGACTTAGAAAAAAAGGAGAAAGCTTTACCTTAATTTCTGTCAAAAATTTGATTCAGATACTGTTAAAATTTTTAACATATTATTGATGTTATCATAATCACCAGCAAAGATTTATTAAATGCCTGCTTTGTATACAGTTTTGTGCTAATCCCAGACAGTTCTTAAGGCATAAAATAAAAATTCTGCTATAAAGAATGTTGTAAACTAATTGATGAGACGTACCATACCTACAAATGTGTGTGTATGCAGATCTCAAGCTTTTTTAAGTTTCCAAGGCACTAGTTACCATTAAAGGATACAGGCCTTTAGCTGAGCCTGAAAGTACCAAGTGACAGGGTATCTCAGACAAGTAGGAATGGCTTAAAAGCAGAGGTGGACTCTTCATTGACAGCAGTATCCCCAGAGCCCAGCATACACATGGAGGTTTGGTAATGGAGTATTGGAACAAAGAAAGGAAGATAGGCAAACAGGAAGACACAGAGACGTGGAAGAGGCCATTTGCATGTCACTTTTGGGGACAGTGCAGGTTCACAATCTCACTCTAGTTTGGATTCTTCCATTTTCAGAAAGTACTGTGTTTTTTGAAAGCTGGACTTTTGACCAAAATGATGCTGAAAAACATGGGAAAATAAGAACTTCCCTTGGAAGCCTCTTCCCTCCTTGTGCCTTTTTGGCTGTGAAGGATAAACCATCCTCAGCTTCCTCTTCTGGTCTTGGGTACAGTAATAGTAATCCTCCATCTTGGAGTATAGCTGCCATAGTAACAACAACAACAACAAAGCCATCAGCTATCCTACTGCCAGCCCCCGAGCCATGCTTCTGTTTCTGGTTGACAGTTGCAAGCAGTTCTATGGTAAATTGGTTGTGTGTCCCCACGTAAGCCACACTCTGCTCATTCTTCACAAAAATAAGTTTCATTGTACCTGGAAGGGTCATCTGATCTAATGATTCCTAACTTCTCATTTTACACGTGAGGAAGTAAAAGGCAAGTATGTTAATGGACACATCTGCTCATTCATCCATTCATTTACTTGTTGAAAACATACTATGTTCCAAGCTCTGTAACCAGCTGAGGATACTGTAATGTCCAAAACAAATGCAGTCCTTACATCAGTAAACTACAAGTTTGTTTTACGTTTATCATTGATCACAAAATTATCAAGTCACTGAATAGGGACTAAAATTCACACTTACCAATTCCCAGGCTGGTGTTCTCCCTACCACATCATAGATGCATGCATGCATAGGAAGTAAGGAAGTAAATGTTGGTGAATTGGGGCTCCAGTGGGAGAGAAAAGGCACAGTCAGCCAGGGGTCTAGGAATTATGTACTGAAAGGAAGCAGAGCAAGGGAACCAACAAGGAACGCAGAGGCACCTCCAGAACTAAGGACAAGAGAAATCCACCACCACTTAGGCTTAAAGGGCAGGGACAAAAAAAATGTCCTCAGAGCCTAGTGAGAGATGGAACCTGGGAGAGAGGCCACAGGTGTCACAGTCACACAAGAGTGCAGCTAGAGCCTGCTCCAGGCAGTGTAGAGGGAAAAAAGGAAGAAACATGCCAGCCTCTATCCCCTCCCACCACTTCCACTTTGGTGACCTCAGGCAGACGCTAGTGGGCACAAGAACCAGGGGAACAGCACCCACAGGATTCAATGCCTGGCCTCTGCCTCTAGTCGTTGGGCAGGGCAAGAAGGCAGAGCATGTTTGGGAGGAGGCAGTGTGTACAGAAGGGGTGTGAAACTGAGATGTCTCTCATGAGATGACCACTTTCCCTCTTTGAATTTCCCCAAAATTAGCCTTAAGATTTCAGGATTAAGATAGAAGAGAGAAAAATTAAATAACAAAATAAGAGAAAGGGCTAGGGGAGTAGCTTAGTGGTAGAGTACTTGTCTACCATACGTTTGACCCTAGGCTCAATCCCCAGCATTGCAAAAAGAAAAAAAGAAAAGGAAGAAAAGACAGGAAGCAGGCAAAGGGGTAAGAAGGAAAGAAGGAAGGAAGGAGGGAGGGGGGAAGGAAGGTAGGGAAGAAGGAAAGAAAAAAAGAAAGAAGGAAGAAAGGAGGGAAGGAGGAAAAAAGAAAGTATAGTAGGAAGGAAAAGAAAAAAAATTGCTGTAACTGCCATAGATAAAAGACTTTTCTTAAATAAAAAGTTTAAAAACAGCAAGGAGGCTACTTCCACATAATATGAGATATTAGTTATATTGAGTTTCTGTCCCTAGCTGTTGACTTTACTCAAACATTATTGTACACGTTAGAAGATAAAAAGCAAGCTCTCCTTTGAAAGGAAATTCAACGAAGAGGCATAGCTGCTGTGACTGCAAGTAATATGGAAATATACCCAACTAGCTATGAAAAACCTTTGATATTTGAAAGTGTATAAAAATATAGATTTCCGCTTTGCAATAGGCACTCCTGTGAAGCACTGTGGAAACATATCTTATGTTTCATAATGAAAGATCATGGAGACTAGAGGCATGTTTTTGAGAAATTATTTTTGGACTATATCTCATGGGATATTAAAACCTGTATCGACTCATCTCCCTCTTTTTAAAACTGAACCTGAGTGCTTTTCCTTCTATCTTTTCCATTTCCCAGGTCTATGCTATAAAATCACTCACCAAAGGGTCAAAATCTGTTGCCCTTTTCCCCAACCAGCTCCTTCGATTCAGTGTGCCCTATCCTATCATTGCTTTTATGTAAGCAAGAAATTAAATCATTAAAACATTATTATCCCCAAAGAGTTTCCACAAGATTGAATTTGTATGATGCGGCTTATTATGCAAGCATTGTTACCCAAGACACTTCTAATCTGCTTTTAAACCTAATGATATAACGAGGGTTTTCAATGACCAAGTTTTCCAGATACTATTTTAAACTATATTGTCTATTTTTATTTCTTGCTTTTGTGTAAATAAAATGGCTTGCAAGGGGGCTGGGGATTTAGCTCAGCGGCAAAAGCGCCTGCCTGGCAAGCGCAAGGTCGTGAGTTCGGTTCCCGGTACCAGAGAAAAACCAAAAAAAAAAAAAAAAAAAAAAAAATGGCTTGCAAATTCATAATGAATAATAAAAGGTATTAATCTTTACAATTTCGCTGAATGAACTCAGTTGTAATTTAAAATCATTTTGTCAATAGAGCCCCCTAGTGTACTGTGATAAGGAATGGCTAACCAGGCAGCGATGGAAATAACCTTTATTGCTCCTAAGAGATCCCTACTTTTGAATTTGTTGATTTCTGAGACTATAAAACATTAACTACATTATTGAATTAGCATGTGTGCTACATTTAATGACATTCCAATTTCCAAAATACATTCAGGGAAATATAAATCCCTGGACTATATGGCAGATGATTTGTACTTTCTAATATACTGAAAAGATATATAAAAGATCAACTTTTATAAAATTGCATTCTGGCATTTTTTACAATCCCATTTTGTCAAGTATAAGAAAATATAGCTATGTAAGTCCTTGATGTGATTTCTCTATTAAGGGTGAGGATAAAAAGGAAAATTATTTTTTAAATTTTTTGTTAGAAACAATTTCCTGTCCAAAAATATTTTTTACCTGGAGCTCTCAATTCTCAGTTGTTGGTTTTTACCAAAGTATTTGCTATGAACTTAGCTCTATAGTACTCAGAACTCTGCACATATGTATTTGATGATTAAAAACAAGTACAGTGACATTATGACAGCAAATAAATACTCTCAGTGAGGAGAGAGAGCGGACAATCAAGGACCAGATTTGGCCTCTGTACAATGTTATTGTTACTGTAGGCAAGTGCTTGATAAACACCTATCATTTTTAACGTGATCTTTTATCAATGTTCTCTTTCTAGTTACATTTTTTATTATCAGTACAGCTTCTTTATGGTTTGCTTTGTTTTTTCAATTGGCTTTAGCATTTCCAGTTTCTCTGTCCTTTGCAGGGGCTGAAAAAGAATTGGGAAGAAGTACACAAAGAGTTCCAGTCCCTCTCCGTCTTCATAGACTCTCTGCCTAAGGAGATTCGTAAGCAAAAGCTGGAAGAAGCAATGAAACAGCTGGAACATGACATTGGGATCATCGAAAAGCACAAAATTATTTATATTGCCAATAAGAAATAGTGGGTTTTTAAAGGGTAGTAATTTAATGTAGGAAAACATGGAAAAATATATTAAAATTAAAAATTTCAAAGCTGACAATTCTATGAAAAGAATAAAAATAATCCTCACAAAAAGCTTGGGCAATATTTAAAGGATAAGTGAATTATTTACTTATATAAGAGAATATTTTGTTTTTATTAGTATTATGCTTTCCACATATAAAACCATTAAAGTTTGAGACTTTGTGTTTCAGCCTTATAATGTAATTCATTCTTACTATGTACTTGTTTCACATAAACATTAATATCTGGACCCTGAAAAATAGTCATCACTCAGAACTTCAATTTTTTTCTTCACTGCATGGTACAAAGAACACAGCTTCAAAAAATGCAAGGCATTTTGAGTTGGAAATGAGAGCATATGCTCTGTTGCTACTCTGAAGTGTTTCCTAATTATTTTTTTCCAGCTGCACAAATTTTAAAAGATATATAATCTCTGGTAGCCTTATGTTACTTGAAGTTATTCCCAATTATAAATATTTTCAGTATCCATAACCTTCTGTATGATGGAGAGCTTATGTTTGAAGGAAGGAAAATTAAGACAATTTACAAAATCAAGGAGGTACCTACCTTATAAATGGCAGCATTTAGGATAATTAAATACAGTGACTTTTAAGACTTTGATATTCTGCTTTATTTCATAATTTACTATCCATTTTTCACCAAAATGGGTTCTTTCCCTTTTGGTCCTTTCCATTTATCTATTTGGTGAACCCTAAAGTTTATTTTTGAAAGATTACATAATTTGTTAAGCAGTGTTTATGGGTACAGAGCTGTCACTAACTCAAAATAAAAAACAAACTATACATACCTAAAAAAAGATTCTTTGATGAAATTTTAATTAGAAGAATTCAGTGAAATATATGAAATTATAAAATATCAGAGAAATATAACAATTTCTATTCCATAAACCAATTTTTATCCTCTAGATAACACAGAAGAAAACGACAATCTTTTTCAAACTTTTTTGCAAATACAAAATTTGAGAACATCATTGAAAAGCTTAGGTGAATTAAAAAAAACTGTTTATATAGTTATTTTTGAAAATTCATCTCCTTTACATCTGCTCATGAGATGTAAAATGCATCTTTTTTATTGCTGTTAACCTAGCAAAGATATAAAATAAAGAATAGTATTGATAAATATGAAGGATGGTATATGATAAATTCTCAATTATGCAGAAGGAAATTTAGGGTAGGCTAACAGCTGCAGCAATAAACCATTATATAACCAAACGAAAACTCATTCTTATTCACACAGCATGTATGGTAGTATGCTGTAAACAAGTCAGCAGAACCATTTTCCTCACAGTTTCTCAGAAATCAGACTTGTGCAGTGAGTAGGTCCCATCCTATTTGGAGCTGGGTAGTACCATGTACTGGCCAGAAATACTGCCTGTCATTCTCACTTGCATTCTCTTGGTAAGTAGTTGTAGCTGCTTTAACAGACTCACTTCAAATCCTAACTGCATGACAAAATAAAGGAAAATTTCTCATTTACATCACTGTCTGCTGTGAATGTGGGCAGGGTGCATTCTGTTTCATACAGTCACTGAAGGGCCCATTCCCTTTCTGGCTAGTGGCTGTCCTAGTAGAGCTGGCCTCCACTGGCAGAGTTAAGGATAAGGTGTGTAGGTTAGTATTTCATTTGTGAAATGATTACAATAAATACTCTTTTTGAACATTTTGGAATGAAGATCATTGTGAAATATTCTAATTCTAATATCTTATGGATATTATGCTTTGGAGTCATGAGTAGGAATTGCCTTAAGTGTCGAAATGACAACCTTGGGGGTCTTAAAAAATGATTTTTCTCTTGCTTTGTGTAAATGTTCACTAAGTGTTATGGCTCATGTCTAGATAGCCCTCCAAAGCCTCATGCAGTCATAGGTGGGACTTTTTCAGAGGTGGCTGGATCCAGAGTGTGTGATGCTGGGATCAAGGGTGTGTGACCACTAAATTAGTCCACTGATTGGTTTGACATAGTTCTGGGTGTGAGTACTACCCACCCAGAAGGCAGGTAGCCTAGACAGAATATAAAAGGTACAGGAAGAAGCTGCTGGTCACTTGCTTGCGTTGCTACCTTCTGCCCACCATGAACTGTTTCTCCTCTACGATGCCTGCCTTCCATGCCACCTTGCCTTGGAGCCATCCAACTAGGAACTGAAACCTCTACAAACTGTGAGCTAAATAAACCTTCCCTCCTTTCACTGTGGATGCCAGGTATTTTAGTTCAGCAATGAGAAATGTACCTAAGATACCAGGAAACCCAGACCTTCCTCCATGACCCACAGTATTGTACTTAAGATGGACTTAAGCCTTTTCTCCAAAATCCTTCCTTCTTCCCAGTAGGGCCTCCCCTACCATGGGACCCTAGCTTGGTATAACTTTAGTTCAATCTCCCTCCATTCTCTAACACACATTTCTGGGTCATCAGATGAGTCAGGGGAGGGATAGACACCTCTCTCAGGAGGTTGGCCAATGATTGATCAGATTCCCTGTTGAGATCCTTAATTAAGAGACACAGAGAATGCAGTCTTTTGGGGGTTCAGATACCTGAATCTAAAGAGCCATATCTTATTACTGGAACTAGTGTGGCTTGGTTTCTGTTCTTGTTCCAGAGAGCTCTGAGTATAAGAATAAAGATTTGATGTCACCTGGCCCTTTGCTGTGATCTCTTCAGCTTGAGTTCTTAAAACCCTTCCCTTTCCCTACCCTCTATAACAGAGATGGGCATAACACTGAGGTTCTAGGAACCACCTAGATCTGCACACATCGTTCCTTCTGCCCGGAAAACTATCACATGTTTTACCGTCTCCTGAAAATCTCTTGGGTAAATTCCTGGTATTAAAGAGTCAGCTCACATCTCACTTTGTGAAAGCCCTCTTTGATTCCTCAGAATCCAGCTTCATGCTGTAACATTGATCATGCTGTATTGTACCTTTCTGGATATTTTGCCATTTCCTGTAACATCACAAGCTTCCGGGGGGGAAAGGGACTGTGCATCCTTCCATTCGCATTCCTTAGAATCTGCCAAATAGCTGGTCTGTACAAGATACTCAAAAAATTTTTATTGAATAAATTCATAAATTATATCCAAACATATTTTAATGACCCACTGACGTGAGTCACATGAAATAAACCAGACTCCAAGGAGAGATTTATGTGTTATTAAACAGTCCACACCAAACAGCTGGCACATGCTCAAGTCTGGAGAAAACAACTTCATGCAGTGCTGAGGAGTTCAGGTGCTGAAATGAGCAGACTCAGGTTCACATCCAAGCCTGGCCATTGCAGATGAATTTTTCTAAGCTATGTTTTCCTTATCTGGAAGATGTGGTTGATAACCCATGCATATGCTTTGTAGAATTAAGATGAGAATGAATGAAACAATATATATTTAGCAGTTAGCATAGTTCCCAGCATGTGGAAAGATGCTTATAATAAGTTGTTTATAATAAACCTTCTTGGATGATATTTATTCATAATTTAATACAGCTTAGGACCAAACCTCAAGACTGGGGGCTCAGTTTGCTGTTCCTAGCACCTCAGAGAAGCTGCATATGAATGAAAATGCACACGGACCCAACTTGTCCCTTGACCCTCAGTATTTAAATTGAGAGACACCTCTCACCTAAATAGATCACAGTAAGTGCATTCTTTCCCAATTGTCCAACTATAAGGGAAGACAAATTATAATCAAAACAATACTTTAGGTACAATACAGTCAAAAGGAAAAGAATTGGATTATAACAGTCCCTTCAGCTAACATAGCTCAGATTCTGTCATTCAACAAGTATTGACTGTCTGTCTACTACACTCCAAAAGTTGGGCTAGTTGCTAAGCATGTAGTGGTGAAGAAAAATAAATAATCACATAAGTGCATTTATAATGAAAAATTTAAACCAGTGTTTCAAAAGAAGAAAAGACACTGTGCAATCTTAAAGGATTCTTAAATCAGATTTTATAGGAGCTGGCACATAAAATTAGACTAGTGTGGCGACATGGCTAGGGAAGGGTTGTGGAGGGGTAAGAATGCCAAGCCTAGAGAATAAAATGTGTAAAGGATCTGAGGCATCCATGAGGAAGGCAGCCACTAGGGGTGCAGTGTACTTGGAAATGGGGAGGGGATGTGTACTGAAGATGGAGAAGTAGAGACCATTACCATGCTATAAACAGAAAGGTGATGTGATGCAATCTGTTTTTAAATAGTCATTTGCTACCTGTTCTGAAGTGGAAGAATAGATAAATGTGGGGATAGTGAGAGATTACCACAGGCCCCACATTGAAAAACATTAGGATAAGCTAAAATTGCAATAGAAAAGATAAAAAGTAGCTGTTGGCATCAAGAAATACTTAGGAGGGTAATACAAATGGCCAATAAATTCATGAAAAAATGTTCAACTTCTTTGGCCATTAGAGAAATGCAAATTAAAACAACACAGATTCCATCTTACTCCAGAAAGAATGGCCATAAACAAGAAAAAAAAATAATTACACATGCTGGTGAGGCTATGGTGAAAAACACCCTTCTACATTGCTATTGGGAATATAAACTAGTACAACCATTATGGAAATTGGTAGAGAGATGTCTCAAAAAACTAAACTAGAAACTCCATTTGACCCAGGTATTCCATTTGGGGGTATCTACTGGAAAGAGTTAAAGCATTATATCATACCACAGTGGTGTATGCATGCCCTTTTTTATAACATAATTCATAATCTTGGAACCAGTGAATAAAGAAAATGTGCAGTCTGTCCCTAATGCAATACTACTTGGCTATAAAGGAATATAAATTTGAGATATTTGCAGGAAAATGGATGCAACTTGAAAATGGAATGCTAAGTGAAATAAATCTGACACACGAGCTTAAATACCATATGGCTTCTCTCATACAAAGTACAAATGAAGTAAAGAGCAAAAATAACACACTGATAAAAGAAAACCGAGAGATAGACCTTTTGTAAATAGGAGGGATGGGGGAGAAGGGCATGCGAAAGGATCTCAGATGTGTCATGTGCATGTACCAACTACTCTCAATAAACGTAACCATCATGTGTTGCAACCACGAACTTAAAAAAATGAAAATGTGGGGGATGAGATAGAGATGGAGAGAAGAAGAATGAGGAGGAGGAGGGGAATAAAAAGAATCAAGCTACAGTAAGTACATGGACCTACTCCCTAAGAAGAATATAAACATTACATACTGCAAATACATACAGATAAAAAAATTTGAAGAAATATTTGGGAAGTAAAAGTATAATTTAGTGATGGATTGAAAAGAGAAGAGGAGGGAGGGCTCGAGGATGACAACCTAATTCTGACTTGAGCATCTGTGTAGCCAGGGAGCTGTTTTTTGAGTACAAAAAATCGAAGGGAGAGGATTGGAGGAGGGCATAAAGAAGAGATCAAAAGTGCAATTTTAGACTGTCTTACTGTCTCATCACTGAGACACTAATACCCAACACTCACAACTTTAAAGAGGAAAGGTTTATTTTGGTTCACAGTTCGTAGAAGTTCCAATCCAGAGTCAGCTGACTCCAAGGCAGGATAACATGGCAGAGGGGCATGGTGGAGGAGAAAGTGCTCATGGTGTGGCAGCAAAAAGCAGAGAATAAGGGAGCAGGAAAGAGATAGAACATTCCAGGCCACACCCCCAGTGACCCATGACCTCCAACTAGTTTCACCTCCTAACATTACCTTTAGCTATAAACTCATCAGTACACTAATCCACTGGTAAGTGTCATGCCCCCAAGATCTAATTGCCTCCCAAAATCCCCACCGCTGAGCACATAAGACTTTTGGGGGACATCTAGATATAAACCATAACAGACGTTGTATGTCCACAATAATTTTGTGACATCTAGTAGGAAATTTGGAATTTAGATTCATAGTTCAGAGATAGATTCAAATATGGAGTGGGGAAGTGAGACAAAATGGATCTGAGATAAATCTATAAATCTGGGAATTCATCCGCATGAATAAGATTTTTCACACTGGGTTAAAGTAGTAAGTCAATGAATGAGTTCTTAGCAATTCTACCATTCAGAAGTCTGATGGGAGAGCAGGAATAAGTACTGATAAAATACGGGTGGGTGGCCAGAGAGTTCAGAAGAAAACTATGAGACCAGGAAATTTTGAGAAAGGAGAATATCTTCCCTAAAGCAGACCCTTGACAATGGGAACAAAATTCTCAACACCCTGGTAAAGATTTTCTCTCCCTTGCTCTGGGAAGATAAACTCAATGTCTACACTGGAGACCCTATGCAGCCCTAAGCCTTTTGCTGAAATTCTTTGATTAATAGATAGATGATAGATAGATAGATAGATAGATAGATATAATGCCATTAACCAATGCCACATTAGTCTATGACTCAATGAGCTGGTTAATATAGTTGAAATTAATACATTTTGAATACCACACTGAAGAAAACATTTCCACAGCTCAAGGACATTTTTCAGCGTAGAAAGAGGCCAATGCTTATTAATGTCATAATTAACTCTCAAGAGGACAATCTAATTTCTCTCATTCCCAAGTTCCTAGTAAATAATGGGAGGGATTTATTCATCAACACGGGTTACTCCATACACACATGGATAAGGGACAAAAAGAATAAGATAAATTTCTTGGAAGGTTACTTCCTGCTGAGAGATACTATGCTTTAAAAAAGAAGGGCTGGGGATGTAGCTCAGTGATAGAGTGCTTGCCTAGCATGTACAAGGCCCTGAATTCACTCCCCAATACTACCAAAAAAAAAAATATATATATATATATATATATATATATATATATATCAGTAGGTTTGACTCCAAGAGTAAGATGTGTTCAAGGAAATTCACTTAATGTCCTTCATTTTAATTTCCTCATCTGCAAAACAAAGAAACTATGCTAGATTTTGTCCAGCCCTCTTGGAGTTCTAGCTGTCCATAGCTATAAAACTAAACCATATGACTATTTTCAGCTTGCATTGAAAACAGAAGTTTGACCTCCAAATGGATTAGAATGCCACAAAGCTCTCATTAGATCCAGAGTAGTGATTTGCACTTATCAACCAAAATCCATCATCTGACATGCTAAGAGGAACATTAAGTAAAGAAAAATTGTTGCTGATTTTTATGTCTTTTTAGATGAAAGCTTATTTAATGACAGTCATTTGAGGTTTTCAACCACAAGGTGTTCCTCATGCTACAGATTTTAAATACACAATCTCTCTAAGAAACTAGTGCTTAAAAAAGCAGACAGAACATGAAAGAAAAGCAGGTATGCGGAGATAGATGGGAAGGAAAAAGTACAAAAGAAAAGTCTCTGACCTTTTATCTAGAAAGAGTGATTCCAATTATAGAAGAATATTCTCTGTGATCATGCCATCCTCTGCGCTCAGGACATCTGAAGCCAGCAACCACAGAGCCACGTCTTCCTAATATGAAATCGTTGAGTGAAGTCAGAAGTGAGAGCAGCTTTTCTCTTCACACACAATGTACCTGATGACAAAGAGGGAAAATTAGCCACAGAGTAAGTGAATGCCAACTACACCTGCAAACTGAAAGAGATGTTTTCACTGTTTTGCCATAAAAGGTCATATGAATATTAATTTTTTAAACTGCACCTGCAGATATGGTCTTTAGATGTAATTTTTTTTATTCCAAAGGATGCTGCCTA